TTATACTGTGCTAACCACGTACAAAAATCCTGTGATTGGTCATAACTAGAACATGTCAGATGCGCAGTACGGATCGGCGCGAACGTGAAACAAAAGAGCGAGTGCCACTACTGGTTAAAGCCTCGTCTACAATCTACATAGAAGTCGCAGAGTCATAGTCGTAAGAATAATCGACTGCGATTGGTCAATTTCATCAGACACATAAGAATTGACCAATCGCAGTCGATTATTCTTACGACTACGACCATTGTAGACAGAACCGAGAATCAATGGCTGCGTTCGGCAGGAAAAGCTGCTTTGCAACTGTTGTAAAATTCGTGAATCTGATTGGTGTGTTCTCTCAATCTTGTGTGAATTTAAGAGCATATGCCAATCAGATTCATGAATTTTACAACAGTTGCAAAGCAGCTTTTTCTGTCGAACGTAGCCATAGGCCGCGTTCAGCAACAACTGTTGAGTGAGCGCTCAATATGATTGGTTCATACTTTTAGATCCAGCCAGTCATATTAAGAAATCATTGAGCGCTCACTCAACAGTTGTGTCTGCTGAACGCGACCAATGATTTCTTAACATGATTGGCTGGATCTGAAAGTATTAACCAATCATACTGAGCGCTCACTCAACAGTTGTGTCTGCTGAACGCGGCCATTGTAGCGGAGGCTTTATACTGTGCCGTGCGTTGTAAAGAGGCCTAATGGTGTCTGAAGTGTGACCAACTTCATGGCGCGACAAATTGAAAAGCACGGGTAGCGGAGAGCTCCGGCTGAGGCCTGAGATCCGTGGTTGTTGAAGAGTGTTTATCAGCTGCCAGGAAATTATATTATGAAAGCAATGTCCCATCATTACGTGGTGACGGCACACAAACCAACGGCTGTCACTGCCTGCGTGACCGGTGAGTGATTATAATTCGTGATATCGCGCGGCGGGGCTGCGTCGCTCTATAATCGCCTTGTTGTTGCGCTTTCCCAAGGTAATTTCACCTCGCCTACGGACTTGAATCTGATACTGGCCAAGAATGTACGCTTAGAGATATACCTCGTGACGCCGGAGGGCCTGCGGCCCCTGAAGGAGGTCGGGATCTACGGCAAGATAGCCGTCATCAAATTCTTCAGACCGCCGGTAAGGTTACCTCCATGTTGGGATCTGTTTCTCTGCAGAACCGTGTTTACACTCGTCATGGCAGTCGGTGACTGGCAGTCGCGTTTACGTTTTGTCGATAAGTCGTCAAAAAGTCGCTGTTTTCTGTTCCTGCGCTGGTGGACTAGTGCAGTAAGCTGGAATGAGAAAAATATGCTTGTCTCACCCCAATTTATTGCACTAGTTGACTGGTGTAGGAACAGAAAACAAGCCTATTATGTCGAATATTGATTTAACTGAGATTAAGTTGCGCAGTAATACTTGTGAAATTTTTACTGTCAACAGCATGAGAAGAAGGACCTTCTGTTTCTATTAACGACGCGCTACAATGCCATGATCCTGGAATGCATCGGCGAGGGAGAGGATATAGAAATTATAACGAAAGCTCATGGGAACGTGGCGGATCGTATCGGAAAGGCTTCCGAGACTGGGATTAAAGCTGTCATTGATCCAAAGGCGCGGGTGATTGGTCTCAGATTGTACGATGGCCTCTTCAAAATTATACCCCTGGACAAGGATAATCCAGAGTTGAAGGCGTCTTCGATCCGTATGGACGAACAGCAAGTGCAGGATGTCAATTTTCTCCACGGGTGTGCTAATCCTACCTTAATTCTCATTCATCAGGACATCAATGGTAGACACGTGAAAACGCACGAGATTAACCTGAGAGACAAAGAATTCGCCAAGATACCGTGGAGGCAGGATAACGTGGAGCGAGAGGCTATGATGGTCATCCCTGTACCTTCCCCCATTTGCGGCGCGATCATAATAGGACAGGAGAGCATTCTGTATCACGACGGTACCACTTACGTCGCGGTTGTGCCGCCGATTATTAAGCAGAGCACCATTACTTGCTACGCCAAGGTGGACAATCAGGGACTGAGGTATCTATTGGGGGATATGGCCGGCCACTTGTTCATGTTGTTTTTGGAGCAAGAGAAGAAGCCCGATGGAACGCAGGTGGTGAAGGACCTGAAGGTCGAGTTGTTAGGCGAGATCAGTATACCGGAATGCATAACTTATTTGGACAACGGCGTGATATACGTCGGTAGTCGCCTGGGTGACTCCCAATTGATCAAATTGATCACAAAGGCGGACGAGAACGGGTCCTATTGCGTACCTATGGAGACATTCACCAATCTCGCGCCTATCGTCGACATGGCTGTGGTAGACTTGGAGAGGCAGGGCCAGGGGCAGATGGTTACGTGCTCGGGTGCCTTCAAGGAAGGTTCTCTCAGGATCATCAGAAACGGCATAGGCATACAGGAGCACGCCAGTATCGATCTACCGGGAATCAAAGGCATGTGGGCGCTGAAAGTCGGTGGTTCGCAGTTCGACAACACCTTGGTGCTGTCGTTTGTCGGGCAGACTAGGATCTTGACTTTAAATGGCGAGGAGGTCGAGGAGACGGATATTCCAGGTTTCGTTGCGGATGAGCAAACGTTCCACACGGGCAACGTCACTGACGATTTGTTCATTCAAATAACGCCGAACTCTGTCAGATTGATCTCATACGAAAGCAAAATGGTCGTTTCCGAGTGGGAGCCGCAGAATAAAAGGACCATCAGTGTGGTGGCCTGCAACGGCACGCAGGTCCTTTGCGCGACGGGCAATGATCTGTTCTACATAGAGATCTCATGCAATCAGATTGTGTCCAAGGGATTCGTTACCCTGCAGTACGAAGTGGCGTGCCTGGACATCTCGCCCCTGGACGGCGTGAACGAGGCGAAGATCGCTGCTGTCGGACTCTGGACGGACATATCCGTTCGTATCTTAACTCTGCCCAATCTGGAGGAGATCAACAAAGAGCTTCTCGGGGGCGAGATTATACCCAGGTCCATCTTAATGACCTGCTTCGAGGGTAACACATATTTACTTTGCGCGCTAGGCGACGGCAGCATGTACTATTTTATTCTACAACGACAAAGCGGTATGCTCTCGGATAAGAAGAAGGTCACCTTGGGTACACAACCCACTGTCCTCAGGACCTTCCGCTCGCTCTCGACGACGAACGTATTCGCGTGCTCGGACAGGCCCACCGTTATTTATTCCTCAAATCACAAGCTTGTCTTCAGCAATGTCAATCTGAAGGAGGTGAATCACATGTGCTCCCTGAACGCGGAGTCTTACCCCGACAGTCTGGCACTGGCGACCGACAGCACCGTTACCATCGGTACGATCGACGAGATCCAAAAGCTGCATATAAGGACGGTGCCGCTCGGCGAGTCCCCGAGGAGGATCGCCTATCAGGAGAGCTCGCAGACCTTCGGTGTCATCACGATGCGCGTCGATGTGCAGGAGAGCAGCGGGGTGAGCATCGTCAGGCATTCCGCGTCCACCCAGGCGGCGTCCAACTCCACCAGTAGCCACGTCGCCTCGCATAACAAGCCCAGCGGCCACACGGCCAGCGAGATCGGCCAGGAGATCGAGGTTCACAATCTTCTCATCATCGATCAGCACACCTTCGAGGTTCTGCACGCGCATACGCTCATGTCCACCGAGTACGCGTTGTCGTTGATCTCGACAAGACTGGGCGAGGATCCGACCTCTTACTTCGTGGTCGGGACCGCGTTTATCAATCCCGACGAGACTGAGCCCAAGATGGGCAGGATACTGCTGTATCACTGGAGCGAGGGCAAGTTCACGCAGGTCGCGGAAAAGGAGATCAAGGGTTCGTGTTATTCCTTGGTCGAGTTTAACGGGAAGCTGCTGGCGAGCATCAACAGCACTGTACGCTTGTTCGAATGGACGGCGGAAAAGGAGCTCAGATTGGAGTGCAGCCACTTTAACAACATTATAGCGCTCTATTTGAAAACCAAAGGCGACTTCGTTCTCGTGGGTGATCTGATGAGATCGCTCACGTTGCTACAATATAAGACTATGGAAGGCAGCTTTGAGGAAATAGCCAGGGACTACAATCCCAATTGGATGACTGCCATCGAGATACTGGACGACGATACTTTTCTGGGCGCCGAAAATTGCTTCAATCTCTTCGTATGTCAAAAGGACAGGTGTGTTTATCACTGCAGATACATTTGTACTTATGTTACTGAAGGAGTTTCTCGAAAGTTACCAATCGTATCGCCCCTTCGTATTCACAACTTTTAATTTTCCGAACAACATTTTGCAACCTCTTGTAAACCGAGGCGTGTACGGGATGAGAGGCTCGAACTCGAAACCTGTTGATTACGAATCGATCGCTTTTACACGGAGCCATTCGTCATCCATATATTCGTATGTTTTTAAATAAGGCAATTTTAATTATCGACGGTCGTCCCCTTTTCAGCGCCGCGACGTCCGAAGATGAGAGGCAACAAATGCAGGAGGTAGGCCAATTTCATTTGGGTGACATGGTCAACGTGTTCCGGCACGGCTCGTTGGTGATGCAGAATTTGGGAGAATCGAGTACGCCGACTCTGGGCTGCGTACTATTCGGCACTGTAAGCGGCGCGATCGGTCTGGTGACGCAAATACCATTCGCGTTTTACGAATTCCTGCGCAACATGGAGGACAGGCTAAACAACGTGATAAAGAGCGTGGGCAAAATAGAGCACAATTTTTGGAGAAGTTTTAATACAGAGTTGAAGATCGAGCAGTGCGAGGGATTCATAGACGGTGATCTGATAGAAAGTTTCCTCGATCTGAATCACGAAAAGATGGCAGAAGTTGCGGTGTCTCTTATGGTAATTCACTCGCGTGTCCTCTTAATTGTATAATATATTGTGTATTGATCTTTCTCAGGTCTCTTGATGCACTGTATCTTTTCGCAGATCGATGATGGTAGCGGCATGAAGAAGGAAGCGACGGTAGACGATCTTGTAAAAATAGTGGAGGATCTTACGAGGATACACTAAATGTTATATAAGTAAACAATATTTTAAATTCATGGAATGTATCTGTAAGAATATTAGACGATATATAGAAAAGAGTTAAGCAGTGATTCGAGAGGGAGCGCGAATGTTTATACGATTACTTTTGTTATCGCTGATATACACGAAAGAAACAACGTAAATTGTCTCTCACCTTCAGCTCCTATCTGTAATGAATTTTCTCTTTGTGTTTTTTTTAAAGCATTTCTAGAAGATTGTGTGAAAATTCACTTCAACGCTCGTCTGTTGCAGTATTTTTTTTTAAGAATCGACCGCATAACGTAGAAATAATACGCAACATTCGTTAATGAATTTATTTTCAAGGGCTGCTCGAGGATTTGTAGAGTAATATCTTTGTATCTTTGTAAGATCGAGTGTAAATAAAAAGAATGGTGCATTTTGAGGTAACATTCTTTGTCGTGCGACCGTAATCTCCGTCTATTTATTAGCCCTGAGTGTGGCCTGCAGCGTCTCTGGGTCAAACAGCCAGCTGCGTAAACTGTCTACTCCCTGGCCTGTCATGCCACTGGTTTCCAGCACTGTGATTCTCTGCGTTACTTCCTTTTGTAAACGCGCATATTGCAGCATCAGCAAAGCCTCGTTTCTCATCTGACGATACGAAACGTCCATCTTGTTCAAGATGAGCGCAACTTTCACGTGCCGCAATCTCGGCTCCACGAGGAAAGAATAGAGCAGCACGCCAGCAGCACTTATTTGGCAAAGATTACTGGTATCCACCACGTAGATTATTTTATGAATCTAACAGTAATGATAGGAAGAAGTGCGATACATGCTTTTAACTGTATTGTGTATTGTTTATTGAGATGCGATTTTATCGTTTTACACAGTACCTTATCAAAATAATGCTTCCATATCGGTGCCATATTTCCGCCTATTTCTTTAATCACCATATCGAATTCGCCAGTATCATTTTTTACAGTATATATATTTACTCCATTGGTAGGCACAGTATGAGTTGCATCGTCGATTTCGTCTCCTTGGAGACTTTTCATTAGAAGAGTTTTGCCCGATTTGAATGGTCCAAGGCAGAGACACATCTCTACTCAAAATTCCATTAACTGTTGTAGATTCTATGCTAAAACTGAATTGCGTCTGTCTATATATCAAATTAATAGACGCCTGCCGTTCTCCGAGGCTTATAGAGGATAACAGACTAATATTGATTTAACAAATTCGCCGCCAGAATGATGTATCTCTGTGAATGATCGAAAAACGCGCAATTAAGGCATATAGTTATAAAACTCGTTAACTTGAACAATAAAAAGATATTTTAATCGCAATGTTCTGTTCAAACTTTTAAATGGCACTAGTAAAAAATCAAACACGTATCATAAAACTTGGAATAATCTATCTATATATTAATTATATCAATTTTAAACTTCAGTTACTCCTTTCCCATTTTATGATTGTAATCAATATTGCAACCAAACTTAATTGAAAATACGATACTATCGTAGCCCATGACTTGACAAAAATAACGCAATATGTGTATGTACGTGTGAGTGAATGAGTGTGGATGTGTAAATTCATTATAAATTAATATACACTCACAGTGCGGGTATATGTACCATATACACTTTTTCAAATATGAAAAATAAAGTACGTTTTAATGCTTTTATTGCAAGATTTTCGTTTAACAAAATAAAAAATTTACTTTTTCTAAGTACCCTAAAAAGAAAAAACGATGAAATTTCTTCATTTCGTTCTTCGAGAACTTTGCACAATAGAAAATTAAAGTGGTCAAATCACTATTTAAGAGTATTGGCAGTAAGTTCTTAACATTGTACATTCAGTGTTTGCAGACAAATAAACATGTACGATTTGTATAACTACATACAGTAATTGTTGCATACACATTTACATACACTCGTTATATATATGTAATAATAAATACACTAATTCTGTGTGTTTACAATAGTGAATTGTAAATGTATTAGCATCTATCATAAGTTTAGAATTTATTAAATGTAACATTCTCTTACTTGTCCCCTTTTTACATAATACAAACATAAAACTTACACGTAGTCTATTCTTTGATTAATTTTATATAGGTTTTCTGATTTTTACTTGGCTAGATTATAACTGGCTTGTTAGACATTTTGGTACAGTCCCTTATTTACATTTGCTAATGTCTATTACAATAAAATAGAAGTTGAAAGATGTTACAATATATTTCTTTCTCCATTGAAAACACATCACAAATATAGAATAAAGCATGAAATTGTCGTCAATATGAATAAGACCTTTTGAAGAATATATGGCTTTTTAAGAGCAGAGCATCTTCACTTAATACTAACAAGAAACAAGAACACTGTTTAACAAATGGTTTATATAAATCATTAAACACTGTGCAATGTTCTGCACGTTTCTCAACTATGTGTATATCAGTCACAATTTTTAAACATTTTCCTTTTAAAGTTGATACTGACATAAAATTTGCTTCTACGTGTACATATAGTAAATCACACCATTTTTCGAATAATTATAAAGTTATAAATAAACTGTTATAATCTATTCGTGTGTGCAAAGGATACATAAAATAATTTCCATTATTGCAAAATTCAGTCTAAGTTCTTTACAAATGTACACTTTACATATTACAGATATGTAATCTTTCATAATCAATAACGAACAATTTTGGCGCCAGTACTCTTTCTCACTATAAGTGATTCCGTCAAATACTGTAATTATAAATATACAATCATATACAGTATATGAAACAATCATATATACTTTATATGGTTGTAATAATTTCATTTAGCATCTTGTGCATATTTTTATCAAGTATGCATCATTAAATGTATGCTATAAATAAAAATGGAAAATGTAATGACGCTATTTATAGTGAAAAAGTTCTAAAATATATAGACATATGTTATTAAGTTATAACGCCAGTGTTGTAAATTTCTTGCTTTACACATATATTATTCGATCGCTGTGTGTAATTAAATGAACATTCTCAATTAGTTATTTCTGAAGTAGACAATTACTGAACGTGCTACAATTACTGACATTGTTTAAAGTAAGGCACGCACTTGAGTCGGCATTTGCCATGAATGTAAACGCTTGTCTTTACTGCCTGCAATAATCTGAAAAATAATAAAATGGAAAAGTTTGGACGGTATTTTAGCATCAATATATTATTTTATTTCATATTTTTAACAATAAAGTTAATAAAAATAAACACTAAATAAATAGTAAATTAAGAAAATATTTATTACTATTTTCATTATTTATTAATATTAATTATTAAATTATTAATACTTCATGAAAAAAATTTAATTCAAAGATAATACCAACATTTTAAGAAAGCCGTTAAGAAGAAATTGTCAAAAAATAGAAATTTGTAGATTGAATACGTACCTTATTATTTACAACTTCTACACTCAATAACATATTTCCTGGGCCTTGTATGCTACATACTAATTTGTGATTCTGTAAAGAGATTTAATTGAATACGAATGATGCAAATACGTTATAATGAACTGATTATGATTCAAGACACAAAGATACAATACTCACGTTTATATCAAAAACGTAAATATTGCCATCGTAGCAACCTGCAAAGAGTAGTTGCTTATGAAGCCGCATACACACAATACCGACACCAGCATCATATTGAATTACTTGTTCACCTGTCTGTAATGTTAAATAATACAATTATAGTGATAAAATTTAATTTTTATCTCAATGAATTTAGAAGAGCTATTGTCACTTGCCGTGAAATCGAAAACGTTTATGGATCTGCCGCTTGTACCACAATAGATCAAGTTATTATGACGCAATAAACTGTAAACTGTGATGTGATTTTTCTGGCCGCTGATCGTACGGAGAAACAAACCAGTCTGTGCGTCGCGTATAGTTATCGGTTGGTTTCGAGATGCTACAATAAGGATTCTCCGTGGGCCTTCATTCGTCGCTTTAAGCGCAAGTACAGACTTGTCCGAAAACGGGATACTGTTTCCTTTAATGGCACCAGCCTGCAAATGAATTTGTATCCGTATGCATAAATATTTACCGTATAAATATGTTATAGATAAAAGTCCATCTTCTTTTTCTCTCTTGATGTAAATGAGTATATCCATATTCCTGAATATATATTAATATAGCTTAAACAACAAAAACTTACCGTAATATGAAAACGCGAGACATGTCCAGATTTAGTTCCAATAAAGATTATCCCCCATGCTTGATCCATGCACTGAATTGCACTGTTTACTTGCGCCGGATTCTTCACTAATTCGCCAGTCTGTAAAGGGTTTTTTAAATTAAATTTTCTCTAAAATTGTTTAATATTTGTACCGCCACGTCTTACCGTTATATTGTAACAACGCAAGGTGCCATCTAAGGAGCCAGAATACATAAGCTCTTTGTTAACTCCTACGATATCCGACTTACAGACATATAGACATGTAACCGCGGATTTATGACCTTCGTAGATGTTCAATATTTCACTAGACATCTGACTATATCTGTATATCTTGTTGTCTTCACTTGCTGCTAGGAAAGAATTCTCAAAAACCTAAAAAAAAAAGTATAAATTATATTAAATTTGTTTTACACAGAATATAATCATCTATCAAATTGCTACCTTGATGTCTAAAATAGGGCCCTTGTGGATCGTGTACTCCAACTTTGTCGATTCCTCCTCGTCGATCTCCGCTACTTGTAAAACAGACTCTCGAGTGAGAGCTTTGTCGTTACTTTCCATGACTGGCTTCTCGTCTAAAATTTCAATTTCGAGGTTTTCCTTGTAGCAGGGCCTATCTGAGAGAAAGAAACTGTCACCAGAAGCTGTAGTAGGAGTTACTGTATTTTGATTGCTCGTGGTATGATGCACGCATGACGAGTCATCGATGACAATTATTCCAAGTCTGTCCAGAACATCGGAATTGACATACTTGAGGAGAACGGATTTACAGTCAACCACTTGCACTTTGCAGTTTTTCATCTGCCACTCCGTATGCTGTTTCCTCTTCTTCGCGATTGCCACGGTGCTGTTGTTTGAAAATGCGGATTCTGTAATCATGTCGAAGTGTTTAACTGGCTCCTTGGTCTTCGTTTTGGACTTAGCACCAACTTTTCGGCTAATAACATTTTGCACTTTCCGTGCGACGCGACTTTTCCTACCATTGCTTGTGACACTTTCATCGCGCATCGCCCACGTGGGGGATTTGCTTCTGCTGCGCGTTGCGACATTTCTCTCATGAAGAATAGTCGAGTCTCGTTCGCTGCTGTTCGAATTAGCATCGGCTTCCTTTATTCTAATGGACTTGATATTCTCATTGGACTTTCTGGTGCTCCTCCGAGTTGGCGTTGAACTGTCCTGCTTGCGACGAAGCTTCCTGCTCGTTTCCGCACCCTTTGCAGCTGCTTTGTTGAACGAGAAAGTAGTAAAAGTGCGTTCTAGACTGGACTTCGGTTCGACGGATGCTTCGTTGGATTCTTCCGACCCTTCATTCACTAGATCAACTGGAATGGAATTGCTGGTGCTTTGATCGTTATCCAGGATTCTCTCAAATGCGTGTGACTTGTTCTCGGGATTACTCTTCTCTTCTTCGGCGACTGCATTCTCCAGACTTTGACAATCTTGTTTCAAAGCAGTCGCATCATTCGAGAGCTGCTCGGGTTCAGCGTCCAATTCTTTCTGCTTCGTATCCGATTTTTCTACAGCAGAATATGATACGCTCAGGTCGCGCCCTGTGTCTGTCGTTGCTACCTTATCGCACCGGTTCGACGCAGCACTGTCGCCTGACTCCTCGTTCTCCGTGGCATCGGAGTATCCGGATTTCGCAACGTTCGATTGCGGCACAGACGGCGCATTACTTACGCTGTCGACCGTCTCTTCCTTCTCACTTGCGTTCACCGCGTGTTTCTCCTTCATTTCGCCTTTCTCATCCTTGTTACTCTCCTTCGCGAGGGTTTCGACGGCTTGCGAGGTGTCTCGCGAACTCTTGTCCCCCTCTTTCTCAGAGCTTGCCGAAAGTACATTCGTTGTAGAATCGACCAAGCCAGCGCCCGCGACGCCGGCCTCCGTGTCTTGCAATTTCTGCAACAGTCCCAAGCTGAAATCGTCTTTTATTAAAATTTTCGGCACGGATACTTTAATGTCGATGTTGCGCGACGCGATGTTGTTGGAATCTTTTAAACGCTCGCAGTCCGAGGAGTGGTTCTCCGTTAGGGTTTCCTCGGGGGTGATGCTACTGTCGGGTTCCACGTTACGGTCGTTGTAGAAAGGAACCTTATCCTGGCTGACGGCCTTGAAAACGTGATTCGACCCATCGGCGTCAGGTACGTCGTTCTGCTGCAACGCGACCTCCTCTACGTTCTCTTTCTCTCGACAGGGCCAGTCCGAGTTGGCATTCGCTTCGGCGTCGACGTAAAACTGATCCTTGTCGGGCTGCAGTACAGAAGAGGCGTTGTTGGACGTCGCTGGAACCTCGTCGGAGGCTCGCGCTTCCAACGGAGGCTCGTAAAGATCCTCCACCCTGTTCTCCGCCACGGCGTTTATCACTTTGTCCAAGTTCTTCATGTCCGGGTCGACGACGAGATCCGCGTCCTCCTTCTTCCGGCTAAGCGAGTCGAGCAGGTCCCGCTTTTGCTGCAGCTTCGTGATGTACAGCTTGGACAGAGGCAGCTCCTCCTCCTCCATCGTCAGTTTGTTGACCGTTCTCAGGAAGGCGTCCAGCTGCCGTTTCTTCTTCTTGCGCACGATCGCCTCCATCTTTCGCGACTTCACCAGCTGCTTCTTCAGCGTCTGTTCTAGTAAAACGAGACCCGTCCTGATCTCGTGCACCTCCGACGCGGTGTTCTGCGTGATAGAGTTCCACGTGCTGTCGTCAGAGTATATAGACGAGGGCTCCGGCGTGCTGTGCACCTGCCTGCACGACGTCCTCGCCGCTTCTTCGCTTGGCGGTAGAACGTTGTCTCGTTTATCAATATCGGGGTACTTCGTACGCTCGGTCTCGTCGTCAGCGAAGCCCTGCCACTCCGAACGGTCGTCCGCAATTTTGTCCGCTGTGCTCTTGTCCGAAGAGATCGTGCGCCCCGAATCGATCACATCACAAACAGCTTCCTCGTCGGGCTTCTCGGTGGTTTGCTCCTCTCGCGCTTCATCATCCACCACGGCGTTCGGTTCGGGTCTCTGAACGTTATCTTCAGACGCGTCCTCACTTGAACCATCCTTCGCTTCTTTACCCGCGGAAGTTGAGATCTGCTGCTCCGTCGTCTCGGCAAGATCTTTCTCTTCGTCGTCTTCTTCTTCTTCTTCCCGTCGGACTATCTGCTCCAATCGCGGTTTTTTCTTCCACTTAATCACGGGCATTTTCGTCTTCTGATACACTGGCGTACAACTCGTCTCTTCATTTTCCGAATTACGCGACGAGATTCTCTTTCTCTGTCTCGCCGACGGTCTCGACGGAAGCACGTGTTTGGCTCGTTTGGCGCAACTCGTCTCACTCGCCTCTTGCGCCATTAACGTGGACGGTATCTCAGGTACTTCTGGTTGAACAACAGACTCGTCCTCTCTCGCCCTCGATATCGCGCCACTGTTTGCCGCAGAATTTTCCGTCGACGGGACATTCTGCAGGATCTCGTGCAGCTTCAGCTTCTCCGTCGCCAGCTTGTGCATTTCGAGGTCGATTTCTAGCATCCTGGCCAGAATGGCTTCTTTCGTCGTGCTAACGAGCTTCCCGGACTGCCTCATCCTCTTGAGTCTCTTCACGAGACTGATTCTGCTCGAAGTTTCTTTGCCTCGGCACTTAATCTGCCGCTTGTCCTTTATCTTGCGCAAAATCGTACCGTTATGCTTCTTCTTACCTTCGCAAATGCTCTTCTTCACTTTCTCCGAATTTCCCTGTCTCCTTTGCTCCAACAGTCCGTCCAATTCCGTCATCTTCCTTAATTCCACAACCGGATTGCGTTGTAAACCGCCGTGGAGAAATTTTTCCATATCGCCGCGAGGTTTCACGGATACACTGTTGCCGTGGCCAACGTCCATATTGTTGTGAGCCGGCTCGTCGTACGTACTGCTCTGCGTCGACGATATCGTGTTTACGTTTATAAAATCTTGCGCCCTCGTGTTATTGCGAGTCTCCTGCGGACGCGTTTTTATGTTGTTTTGCCTGTTTACATGCCAAGCCGGTGCTTGGTAATTGAGATCTGTTTCGCCCTGCTTATCCAATACCTCAAGTGCCATTTCCTTCGTCGCCGTCGACACGTTGCTGGGATATTTCAGGAAGAGATTCGTCGCAGCCTCCTTCAGGGCGGCTTTAGTCGGGATATTCAGCGTCCTTGGCGTATCGCCCGACGAACGTTCCGCCGACGCCCCTCCCGCGAGCAGATCATTGTCCGTCGACGAAACGTGCTTCAGATCGAACTTGCACACTTCCGGCTTCGATAAATCCGCGCAGGGCGTAATCATCGTCGTTTCAGGAGTGACCGCGAGCGTGATGTCGTACCGCAGGCTCTGCTGGTGAACGGGGAAGTGCACGGATTCCTCGTCCTTGTTGTCGAACGCGGTGGTGCTCCGCAAACGATCGTCCAAGTAGAATATGTCGCTGTCCAGATGCTCGTCGGCATCGAAGCCCGGCAACTTGTCGCAGGCCGCCTTCTCCGCGGATATATTCGTCTCCAAGTACATGTGATTGTCGAGATGCTCCGCGCCCTGGCTCTCCGGCAGTCGCAGCGCGTCATCCGAGATCGTCGTTTCCAGAGCGTCGGATAAACTGGGATCGGTTGTGGTCTTGAGTTTGCTCGCCAGGTCTTTCGACCGAGCCTCACCTTGAATAACCTCCTCTTCGCTGATAAACATGGATTCCTTCATCACTAATCCGGCACACGATGCGTAGCCCCCTTTGCTCATTAGCTGTCCCTCCGTTTCGTTACCACCGCCGATATTGATATCGTTGTCCTCATCGTGTAACGTGGTCGCGGCTATCTCGCTCGGGGATCTTTTTACATCCTCTTCTCTGCTTTCATTCATCGCCAAGTCGCGGGGTTCATCACCCTTCTTGGTCGTCGTGCATTCCTTATCTGAAGCAAGTAAAGCGTTACCGAAAGCGATATTAAAATTCTCACTAGCATTAACATCCGCGTCGTTAGCGTAATTAGTACTGGATTCCAGAGCTTCGTAATCCTGCTGTCCCTCGATCGTCGTATCCTTGCAACTGGCAGCGCGCATCGCATAATTTACATTACAATCGTCTAGGAATATCGTGTTCTTCTTATTCGCGTCGACCTCCAATTTCATATTGAACAAGTTGGGCTGCTCAAAATCTATCATGGTTTCCTGAAGAAAACCTTTGAATGGACTGCCTACGCTGTCGGACGAGGTGGCACCTTGCTGCGAGTTTTCTTTCGAGGCTGACGACGATTCGGCGGTTTTCTTGGCTACAGATTCGTCCTCGTTCGCACTCGCGGATTTGAGTGCACCTACCGCATTTAATACTGTATTGTTATCCTTAATATCACTAGTTTTAATATTGCTATCTATTAACAGCTGATTCTCCTCCTTACTTGGTCCATCGAGGCCATCCAACTCGGAATTACTGCTTGTTTCGCGACTGATCGCGCTCTTCGATTTTTTAATTTTACTCTGGCCAACATAACTCGACGAAAATCCCGTAGATTTTGCCGCGTTGATTGGTTGAACCTTAGACGCGGAGGAACTCTTCTTTTTTATCTTTTCAATGTCACTCGTGACTTTATTTTCGGGGACTTCCGCAGCAACTTTAGAGGTAGATACATTGAGTTCAGGAACGACACTGCAAGTTTCTCTTGCGATTTGACCCTTTTTATCCGCAATCTCGACACCTGCGACGTTCTTGGCACGTTTCACGTTACGAGTTACTTTACTTCGCATCGTCTTAGAAGAATGCTCGTGCGCATCCGCGCCTTCGATATTACTTACAGTTTTCTTAGCGTTTTCGCGTTCGATATCGCAATTTGAAGAGCGTTTCGCTTTAACGGTATCGTGCGATAATTCATTACCATCGTTATCGGCGTTTTCTGAGGAAATTGTTGACAATTCCGTTTTCGTGTTGCTATTATCTATCTTAGTTTCGCGAGAATCTACTAATCGTTTATTTTCCATTTTACTTGTATTAGAGTTATTATCGATCTTCTTTTCTTGAACTGCCTCCTCCAGGGGAATATATACGTTTGTCGAAACAAAACTAACGGACTTTGACGTTACCGCGGATTTCTTTTTCGCCTTTTGTTCCCCCGCCGTTTCCTTCTTCAGCTTCAATTCTTTGCCGCCTTCCGACCGAATATTCTTAAATCGTTTGGTTTCGTCGGACGAAACTTTACTCTGTGAGTTTTTATCCGTTCTCTTTTTAACTTCTGAGCATTTCTTGAATTTTGGAACCGCAATTTTCGGCGTTACCACAACGTTGGACAGTATTTTGATATTGTTAGCAGCCGGCGGTACTTTATCTTTTGTTTTGTCCTCGTTAATTTGTTTAACGACGCTGTCGCTATCGATGGTAGGATTTGAATTCTTTCCCTCAGGACATCTCGGTGCTGGTTCTGCATTCGTAGATCCCTTTGTCACCTGCGCTTCCTTCTGCCGAACATTTTTTCTTGACGTTGTCTGCGAAATGTCGACTTTATTATTTATCGAAGCGATCGCCACTCTCGCCGAAAGCAATCGCGGATCTTGAATGGAGCCGCTGTACGTGGGTTTCTTCACTGCAATTTCTGGCCCGGTGACCTTCGATGTAGACGGCTTTATCGGCGTCGATATCGCGGGATTCTCCACGGGCTTCTTCATTTCTAATTTCTCGTTCATACGACGTTGTATAGTGCGCTCGTAGTACGTCTTTATGTCGATCTTTTTGCTGGCCCCCTGCTTCTGAATCACAGTACTCGGAGGTGAGATATCCGATGCCGACGACGCTGACGTAGAGACCGTAGATACATTATCTTGACGTAGCACTCGTGATACGTTATTATCAGTAGCTACGATTTCATTATCGTCTTGCACTTTGGGGGACGATTCGGTAAAAGTCCGCGCTGTTGTGACCTGCTGCTGCGGCGATGCATCTTTGTCAGCTTTTCCGCACGATACAGCATTACCGTTTTGACTCGTACAATTGTCGATTGTCGATAGAACAGATGAATCCTGATCACAGCCGTTGTCAGCTGTTTCACAGGATCTACTCAAATCCTCCGCACTTTTCGAGAGATTCGCCGGATTAAACGTATTCCAATCTTCCGGTACACAAGTGAACACATTCAGGGAAACCTTGTTGTCGTTCATATCGGATGTCTCTGGCATCTGCTTCAGCTGCGCCTTGGTCTTCGGGTGCGTCGGGGAAGCCGTCGGCAATCTATCCTCAGTGTGCAATTGCGTGGCATTGGCAGTCGCCGGCGGAATTTCAAAGGGGGATTCCGGTATATTTTGCGGCGCGGAGAGTAAATACGCCGCCCTGTTTTCCACGACGAGACTCGTAGCATTCGCAAATTCAGCGTCGACATTCTCTTCTTGGCCGATGTCTACTTCCTCCTTAATAATCACTTCTTGCGTGATCTGATTCTCCACGACTTCCTTCTTAATCTCACTTTCTGTCAGCAATCTGTCGGTTGCTTCGTCATTATCGTCCTTCTCCGAGGAGGAATTAGAGGAGCTCGTTTCCTTGTCTTGCTTCCTCTTCTTCTTATGGCGCGCCTTTCTCTGCTTTCGGTTCTTGGAGTGCTTTCGCAATTTTCGCGATCTCCGATCTCGCTCGATCTCAGCGTTCACCTCGTCCCTTATCGCTTCGTTCAACGACACTTGCTTGGCTACCTTCTCGTTCTCTTTTATCACTCTCAATAGTTTCGTGACGTTTGCGTTATCGCTACTGTTGGTGCTGCTGCTGTTGCTGCTACTACTGCTAGTACTACTGCTGCTGCTATTGCTGTCATGACTGGCGTTATATTCTAAATATCCCGTACTGTGTCTTCTATCGTCGCTGTGTCGCCTAGATTTCTTATGCTTATCTTTTTCCAAAGATCTGTGCCTCGTGTTTGGTGGATGCTTTGATGATTCCGACGAATAACGGCGCCGCAAATACAATTTTCTCCCGCGTCCTCTCCTCGGTAGCGGTTCGTTATTATCGGCGGCAATATTGTCCGCGCTGAAAGGTGTCGAGCTTGGCTGCGTCCCGTACCTCTCCTCCCATTCCTCTTTGGTAAGATTTCTGTACGCGTGTGGGTCCTCCCGCTCCTTCCTCTTCCACCTGTCGCACTTCTCGTCCCAGCGCGGACTACTTTCCAGATTGTGCATTTCGTCTTCCAACAGCGCCTCCTCCATACTCCTCGAAATCGCGTCGACGTAGCTCATATCGCAACGCTTACGTTCCTTTGCTGCGGCGGGAATTTGATTTTTCTTCGTCACTTTTGAAAATATATCGTCTAAATCGTGTTGCAGAGTCAATAAGTTACTACTAATACTAGAATCATTAGCTACGATAGAGTTACAAATATCATTAGCTATAACAGTGTTACAGATTTCACTAGCTACGATGGTGTTACAGGTATCATCTTTCGTATTAAGATTATTATTCTTTATGATATCGTGAGCTTCCACGCTCTTGTTATATGGCGTTTTTGTTGTACGGCCTTTATTTTTTACATTTTTCCGTCTAACATTGTTCGACCTTGCTGTTTTATTTGCGCACTCTGTGACATTATCGATTACGGGACTGAACGCATAATTTGTACTTTCCGACTGGCCACATTGGCTGCTCGAAGCTGCTGCGGGCTCGGCGTGATTGTCCGGTTGCACGTCCAATTGCAGTACTTCGTTCAAATGATGGATAAACTCTGTAGGTAGATCCGTAATGGACACGACAGCGTCGGTGTCCAACATCGCGTTCAATTGCTTCATAAATTCCTGCTGATCATACGATTTCATCTTTTCGTCCTGTACATGCCTCATCTTTAAGGACAACGTAGGCTTCTTTTCTTTGACTAGACGTTTCATTATGATATCAAACTTCCGAAGACTAGTATCATTCACCATGTTGTAGATGTCGTTTTTACTCATCTTTAAAAATCGGCTGATGATCTTGTTCTTCCACAAAGCCTCCGTAGTGGAATTCTCACTTGTTTCTACCGGACTCCTCAGTTCTTTTTGCACGGCGACTCTCGAAGGTGAAACGTTTGAACATTTTTCCATATTAACATCCTTTTGTGGTGTTCTATGAGGCAATGTAGCATTCTTGCTTGTAATTAATTCGAATAATGTTGTACATTCAGAGTTATTCTCGTTTCTCTTCAGACTCTTCTTCTCTTCTTTATTGCGCCTCAATGTATTCTCCAAATTCTTCCTGGTTACCGAAGGTGTTGCACGTGTCTTTTCCGACTCGACCGACTGCGTCATCCCGTTTTTCTTCTCGCTAATTTCTTGCCGCACTTTCTTAGTGCTCACTACTTTCGTCTTATTGTTCAAGTTAAATACTACTTTAGGACGATCTTGTTCCTTAATTAACAAGGCATCCTTAGACCTCACATTTGCATCCTGTAATATTTCTTCCGGCGACAGGTAGTCCGCTGTACTCCGTTCCTCAGGTACCATTTCTTTCTTGCTACGCGTGACAGTTTCTCTCATCCTTTTTACCTTATTAATCTTGGCTCTTGGCCTCTCTGGAGGCAGGGATATAAACTCTACGTCGCTAACACGATTAATTAAGATATTGTTTACGGAAAGAGACTTGGGACTCGATCTAGATTCTTCGTCTGCTCTTCCTGTTACACTTCCCGTCATTTCTATCGCAAATTTCATAGCTTCCTGCATGTCGTCCAAACCGTCGTCTTTGTTCACGCTATAAGATAAATCAGAGGATGGCGGGAGCTCTGGTAGGACATGCGGAGGTACAAAAGTATTATGAGGTGTCGCATGCATTTGAGGCAATATCGACGGAACATGCGTACTCATGCCAGAATGACTACTCGACGGCATAGGAAATATCGGAGGGAAATTTACGGAATCAACGTGGGGCGGCAGAAAGACGTTACTTTGACCGGGCATTTCTAACGGTGGCTGAAGGATAAATCCACCGTGTGTATTTAAGCCCGCGTGAACTTCTACGCTACTATAGACGGCAGGCATCGGGTTTTGAGCGTTGCTCCATGCAGGATTTACGTCTTCTTGGGATCCGAGTAAACATTTTATATTCGGCGGCGGTGCCGTAGGATCAAATAACGGCGGTAACTCAGGTGGTATTGAGTACGGAGGCAAAATACGCGACTGCTCTTGCTTCAGTAATATCGGCGGCGGGGTACTGGGGTCAAAGTCAACGGGTAACTCCTGCTCGGTATGCGGAGACAGTCTCGGCGGGCCACCGTGAAAGGAACTCTCCATCACTCTTGGCAACTGATTATCTAACGTAACATTGTTCATTGGCACATCAGCTGACGCTAGTTGTGTCAACGTACTACCACTATTGTTAGGACTTTCCGCGTCAAGGATTAAGACACTTTCCTGAACCTCTAAGTTTGCGACGGGCCCCTCCTCGTTTTGCGATCTCTCCTCGTCTTCCTTCTGCAAAATCTCCTGGCCCGCCGAGTCGATTGGAAACGACGCGGCCTGTAAATTCAACGTTTCGGACTCTTCCTGCATGCTCGCAGCGTTCGCGGGATACACGCCGATTTCTCGCGGCGCATCATGCTGCTGGTCATCCTGATCCTGCGATACGCCGGCCAGAGGTATATCGCGTTGAAACTCACGATCCGATTCTAATAAATCGATATTGTTGTCCACGTCCAATTGTCCCAGATTATGCGAGTTGTCGACTGGCTCGTGGAACACCCAGCTGTCAGTTTCCGCACACTCGCTGTCATTCGGCACGTCTTCCAGATTCGTCATTTGGTCGCTAGGTATCGCAAGACGAGATCCGTTTTCATTTTCATCCAACGTTACATTGCTATCTGCGTTACTCGTAAAATTACATATATCCGTAGGATACTGCGCGTCATCGAGCTTCGTGTAATCGGGATTAATTTTTCCAATGTCCTTTAGATCATTGTACGTCAGATTGAGCTCAGACGATTTGTACCCGACCACGGGGACACGTGGATTTTCTATACAATCATCTTCGGCGGGGCAAGACGGCGGCGCGTCTTCGTTCCAAATGTCCGTTATCTCGTCGCTGCTGAAAGACGAGAGCTTCTGCTTCAATCGATCCGCCGTTTCGGCTATCTTCCGCTGGCGCTCCTCCTCGGAGCCGAGCAGAGGTGGCATCGCCTCATCCTGATCGGTCTCCATTTGCAGGCAATCCGACGCGAACTCCTCGTGGTCCTGAGGCACGGGCAGTCTGTTGGGGGTGGGAAAGCGAATGTCGTAGTTGCCGAATCTTCTTCTCCTGCCGTCCGCCCGGAACTGCGGACTGCCCCGCAACGGATGGGGCTGAAAGAACACGTTGTTCGGCTGCCAGGGCATGCCAAACCGCACGGGATGCCCCGGCCTGGGTGGACCCACATGCCGGAAGGGCGGCCGCGGGAAGTGGGGCCTACCGAAGCGACGCGCGGCACGTGTCCCCGGCGGCCCGAAGCCCCTTCCGCGGTTGAAGTTACTGTAACTCATCCCACTCTTTCTTTTTTAATCCTAGTAGTATCGTCTCAACAACAACAACTTGCACAAATACAGGCTAGCGCTGTGAAATCTTTGGTAACTTAACATGCCGCGGCACCGCGCATCTCCTTATTAGGAACTTGCACACTTATTGCAACGGAACCGCGCTAGGCGACTCGTCCCTCCCGGGCTCAGGATTTGCTCCGTGTCGGCCCAGCTGGCGCGTACTCCGAACGATCGACATCCCACCTAACCTAACCTCCCATGACCGACTGACGTTCACCGGCGTGGCTGCCTGCGTCGCCTGCAAAGGAACGTGCGCGATTAGACCAGGGGGGAAATTAACGGGGAGAGCGTTCGCTGAAGCTTACCGAGTGTCAGCGTGCACGCGTGACGATCATCAGGTCCGCGGGACTCCACGCGTCCGCGTCAAACGATCAGATGTTTCGCGCTCTTCACGTCTTCTTCTCTCTTCTCTCACTCTCTCTCTCTCTCTCTCGTTTCCTCGCCGCGAGCTCCCCGGCGATGGTGTTATTTCCGTCGCGGCGGATCCCGCGCGACTCCGGCGGACGGGTGTCTCTCCCTCGGCGGTTCCCGCGCGACTCGGCGGACGGTCTCTCCCTCGGCGACTCCCGGCTATACCGGACGATCGTGCCTAGCTGCCCTCCGCCGTTGCTCTCGCGCGAAACACTCCCCTGCGAGATGCGTCACCCTGGTTCACGGCTCCGACGAGACGTCGTGCGTGATCGTACGTACTGCGCGTACACATGCGCGCCGATATTGCGGTTGACTCGCCGATAGGTTCGCCGCGCAATTTATTACGCATTCATGTGCAGGGGCGGAGGGGCAGGGAAGAGAAGGAGAAGACGGAGAGAGGGAGAAAGAGAGAGAGAGAGCGAGAGGGAGAAAAGAAGTTACCTTAATTTAATGCACGATTATGTAAATCGGCCGGGGACGGCGACGCGGCGGTCTTCGACGCTACCTGATCAGAGCGAGCCTCGTATCTGGGGTAATCTGGACTCGCGCCGTTTTCAGCGCGTTGACGGCTTATCTATGGAAAACAAAAAGCGAAGATAGGCACACTCTCGTGTTTCGTAGTCAGGTTTGCGCGCCGTCCTTCTGCTTTTGCCGTGTCCGTCGGGCAGAGCGCCTTATGAATGTGTGCATACTCAATCAATTTCCTTCATTTCAAGTCAGCTGTTTTTCCTCGAATTAGCATTCTGCATTTCTGCCCCCCTCCGCCCCCATTCTCGATAATCGCCGTTCGATCTGACCAATGCACCGCTCACCTGCGA